AACCACCTGATGGTGCTGCTTGTGTTGCCGCTGCGGCTATTCCCCCCCGGCTTCTATTGCTGCTGCTGCTTTTCCCCCACATCTGGAATTCTTGCTACTGCTGCTGTTCCCCTTGGCTGAGTTGACTAGTTCCGCTTCCGCCACTGCTATGCACCCACTGTTGACTATTGTTCATGCCGTCACCTCTGTTACTGCCACCCTAACCGCTGCTGCTGGTGCTGATTATGCACCAAACCCTTTGGTTATTTCTGTCGGTGCAGCTGCTGCTATTTCAAGAGCAATCAGAGCCAAGGAGCACTTCCTGTCACTGTGCCACCTTCAGGTAGCCCGCCTGCTGAAGTGTCACGATCTGTGTTATGTAAAGAGGGAAATCATCCCTTGCGGCAGCTTCTATTCCTCCCGGCTGTCCTCTGCTCTCAGCCTACCTCAGCCTATCTGCCACCCTTTCACCTTTCCTCCGCCCCCCAATATCTCTCCTTCACATTGCCCTCAGCCTCACTCCACCTTGTCCCCCCAATATTGAGATGAGATTGCTTGGTAAATAGTTAATGTTGGCCAAGTCACCTGCTGGTTTGAGCATGGCACCCCACAACAGATGCCACCCCACCTAGCACGACAAACAGTGAGAAAATAGGGGGTTTGAGAATTGATTGATTTTTTTTTTCAGCATTTTTTTTTCCTTTTCTTTTGTTTGCAATTTTTCGATTGGCACATGCAGCTTCTTGAGCTATACGGTACATGCTAACGGATGCATAACATTGGAAAATGGTGAACGTCTCATAAACTCGACAAATTACACGCATACATGCTTTCAGTCCCAATCCCAAGCATTATCATCTTCCCAAGAGTTAACCTTCAAACCATACATCCCGTTTACACAATCGAGTGAACCTCTAGAACCAAGCACTTTGTCACAGCCTGAAATATTCAGGCTATGCAGCATCTTGAGCTGGGTGAAACCATAAGGAAGAGACTCCAGCCGCTTGCATCCATGCAGATCAAGATTCTTGAGCCGGCTCAGCCGAGCGAAGTTGGAAGGCAAGGAGCTGATAGAAGTGTTGCGGAGGTTCAGGTAATGGAGGCAGGAAAGCCGGGTGAGAGAATCGGGGAGTTCATCCAAATCAGAGCAGTCAGAGAGGTTCAGCTCACACAACCTGGATAAAGCACCGATGCCCTCTGGTAGGGGGAAAAGTTTGGGAGCGTGGATCTCGATGGATGTCAGCTACTGTAACCTCGTAATCCCCGGTATCATTCCCATTCCTTCCGCCTTTTCTATGCACAGCTTCCTCAGATGCAGCAGGGATCCAACCTCATCCGGAAGCATGAACATGCGTCCAGCATTCTGGATTGTCAAGGTGCGGATGTTGGGAACGGCTGCTAGTGGCAATGGGAGATCCTCTGCATCTCTAGGCAGCAGCAGCTGCAAGTGCTCCAGGGAAGGAAGAACAATGTTGGTGTCCAGACCACGCAGAAGGCCAACACTTGTCAAGCTCAGTTCCCTGAGCCTCGGCAGTGCAGGGATTTCCAGCATGGGACTTAGTAGTTGGTGGCTCCCCAAGCTTAGTGCCTCGAGTGATGGTGGCGCCGTCATGAGAGCTTCTGGCAGCTGAGGGCATTTGCCCAGCTCCAACTCTCTCAGTCTTACAAGGCTGCTCAAACTTTTGGGCATTCTGATAACGTCGCCAGCTTTCAATATCTCAAGGCTCACAAGATCGGTGATAGACTCTGGGAGCTTGTCAAAACACGAATCGGATTGGAGAAACAACACGCGTAGGTTACTTAGCTGCCCCATGCCCTCTGGAAGCTCGCTCATGGCGTTCTGAAAGATTTGAAGGCTTGTCAGTGAGGAGAGCCGTGTGAGCGATGATGGGAGGTCTGAGTGAACTCTATTCAGGTGGAAACTCTTAAGGTTGGTCAGATTTCCAACGTCTTCAGAAAGCATCAAGCGTCGAGAGTTGACGATGCTGAGCGATTCAAGTGCTGCTAAATCGCCAAGACTTGGAGGTAGTTCGCTGAGAGATGCACAGTTGACCAGATTCAGAATCTTGAGAGCAGTGAGCAGGCGAAACGAATCTGGGAGATGCGTGAGCTCCGGCAGATCTAGTGACAAAAATGTCAGAGCGGGTAGCTCTCCAAAGGTTCCAGGCAGGTTGGTCATTTTGCCCCGGGAGATTGTTAACCCCTTCAGAGCGCGGAAGGAGGCGAACCCGTCAGGCAGTTGAGCGAGAGATTCACATTCGTTGATGCTCAGCTGCCGGAGACATGGCAGGCGCTCTCCCATGGCATGAGGAAGACTTTGGAGCTCGACGCTCTTGCCGAGACACAATCGTTCCAGACTGCTGCATGGCTGACCGAGCGGAAACATGAGATCGAACCGCGGACTTGCTGCTTCCAACTCCAGAGACTTCAGATACGGAAGTTGTGCGATCGGGAAAGGCGTCACCCATGCGTCATTGCAGCAGGAGAGACTGGTGAGTCCTGAGAGAGAAGTGAAGATCGACATCCGTAACTGACCGGGAGAGCCGTCACCCTTCTCTACGGAGAGAGACGCGAGAGAAGACAGGTTGGTAAAGCTGGGAGCCTCCCGAGCCGAGCTATCGGTCAGAGCTAGAGTGTGAAGGTTGTTGAGTTGAGAGAAAGTCGATGGTAGCTTGGCGTTTTGATGTAGGCAGTAGAGCGACAGGTGCTGCAATTGAGTGCAGCGACGGAAGAGTTGATCCAAGCCTGCGTCGGTCACCGGGTGCTCATCCTTCCTATGGGATTATCCTTTTCTCTGTGTAATCTCCTTTCCCACGTGGAGCGACACCAGTTTAGGGCACGCAACAGCGAGGTGAGCGAGGAAGGCGTCGTCGATGGACTCAACGCTGTTGTCGCTCAGATGCACGTGCGAGAGGTTCTGGAAGCACGCAACCGCAGCGGTGAGATCTGCGAGCGACACGACGCCGTTCTTCTTCACAAGGAGCATGGAGATATGCCGGCGAGCCAGGCGGCGCCAGCGCAAGCAGACGGAGGCGATGAGGAGAGTGTAGGCCGCGTCTGTGAGCGCAGGAGGAGCTGTCAACGGATTACTACTAGTTCTAGCAATGCTCGTGCTAATAGTCCTGTTATCGTTCCGCTGCAGAGACAACGGTAGCACGTAGAATTCGGAGGTGTCGAAATCTTCGCCATAAGGGCTTTCGGAGGAGTAGTTCGGCCTAGGGAAGGCGGAACGCGATGAATGAATAATGTTTGTGGGTTGGCGGGGGATGAACTCTTCGTTGGAGCGCCATAAGATCTTGATGAGCAGATCGTCGGGCAGATCGTTGATGTATGCGCGAGGCATGATATCTAGACGAACGGAAACCCTATCTACAGGAGCTATGCGCATTCGGTGCTGCAGGTGAATGTGAAACTTCTGGTTTTGTATGGCAGACGGATCTCTATTATTGCTCATTAGCAGTAACGCGTCAGATCCAGCTGTTCCTCTAGCATTTTCCCAACGGAAGAGTGGGCTGGTGGAGAAAGCTCGCAGTGATGGGAACATAGCATCGAGAAAATAGCATCGACGAAGCTCGCACAAGCCTTTCGTCAGGCTTCTCCACCCCGAACCCTCTTTGGGAACCTTTGCGAGCCTGACGAATACACCAGGTAACGAGAGCTACTTCATACGCTTCCTGTTCGCAAGGAACAACACGCCGAAAATGAGGTGTGGATTTGCGAAACCAGAACCACACACGTCGAGGAGTAACTCGCGATTGCGAAAACTTGTTACGTTTTGGGCTGCGGCAGGCATCCTCTTGCGAGTGAAGTGCTTCCAGCTTCTACAACAACACCTTTCCAGAGTCGTTGCTGCTTTCAACATGCAAGTCCCCTTTACAGACGTAGGGCATGAGCGGGGATAGGTTCGGGGGCGTCACTGTTTTCATCGCTTCTTTTGTTTCCGTAAAGCGAATGTTGTTCTTCATACACGCATCTGCTTAGCTGGCGCGACTCAATCACACTCTGCCACTAGCGGCACGCAAGTAAGTTCCGCTTCTTCCACGACGCCTCGATTTGATTCACGCAAAGTTTTCAAGAAGCCGCGAGTTCCGAGTTCCGAATGTCCCTAACGCGCCTCGGTTTAGGGCCGCCCTCTTCGGCCTCTGGCACTCAGATGGCAACTTAAGTCAGCGTTGCTGTCGCGCACGATCGACCATGCTGTGGCTCGAATCAACTACTACGCCGATTTGAAAATCCGCAAATCGACCTAAAACATTCCACCTATTTCGCTCACGAACCGAACGTCATCGCTCGCAGCATTTTTTCAGCGGTTCCTGTTGCCTGCTCAGGCAAATCGAGGCATCCGTTCACGAGATTTCCGAGATAGGATGGCGATTCGGCCGCATGCACAGGCGCCGGTATGCACCGAGGCCGCCTCGGCCTGTTCAGGCCTTTCTCTGAGGCGTCGAAGATGCCGTGGATTGCGTGAGGAGGGTTGCAAGGATGGAGTAATGCTGACGGTAAGCTGCAGCTTTCTGTGTTTCATGGCGTCGCAGCAGCAAGACTTTTAGTCCGGTGCTTTGATTAGATCTATGTACCACTGACGTGACAGATATGGTTCATTGGACATGTCATGATGCATAAAGCAAGGCGAAAGGATGATGGTGCGGGGAAGATCGGACAGATACAGTTGTCGCATGCCACGTGGCACAGCCTGTTGGCGTCATTGTGCCATCCACGTGTAGCAACAGTTACTGCCGCTGCTATTGGTTCCCTGTCCTCCCCTGTCCCTATCCAATGCTCCACCTTCTCTCTCCCATTCTGCCTCTTCCCCCTTCCCCCACGTCACCCTCTACCCTCCCCCTTTTTCCGCTCATCTTGTCGTCAATCCCCGCTTCTCTGCTCCCGCCTCCCCACAGGTCTGGATAGTTGAGGTCGAAAGCACACATGGAGAAGTACGATCCAGATCCCGGGCTTCTCATGCCTTCTCACAAGTGCCACTTCAGCATGTCTACTGCTCTTGTGGCGTCGGATGGACTTGCATGACGAAGGTGAGTGAGAGTTGCTGAGGGACTCTGTGAGGTAGGGGTGTGTGTGGGAGTCACTTGAGAGAGTGGTGAAGAAGGGGGGGGGGTGAGAGTGGGAAGAAGGGTAGGGAGGAAGGGAGGAGAAGTGGGGAAGAGAAGAAAGGAGGGAAGGAGGGGGGGGGGGGGGGGAGAGATGGTGCTTCTAGGGCTGGCAGAGCCCATTTTGGACGCCTGGGGTGTTACCGATGGGTGGCAGGGGCTTGGTTGGTGGCCGTTGACAAGCTGGAAATCGCCAAGGCTAGAATCGTGTAGTGGCTTGGTTGGAAGTCGGTGCGCGGCGGGGAAGATGTGTGTAGGAACCACTCGAGTCACTCGTGGGTGACGGTGGGAAGGGGGCAATTGAATAGCTGGCTGCCGCCGAGGTAGGAGTTGCTGAGAGTCACTGAAGAGTTGGTGAGGATTCGTTGCGAGTGGCTGTGGGATGGCTGTGAGTGTCAGTAGAGGGAGCTGATGGGCAGGATAGGTGAGTTGAGAAGATAGTTGCGGCCAAGAGTGAAGCTCATCCCCCCATCCCCCCTGCAAGAGCCTCCTTTCCTTTCCAATCTCTAATTACTTCTTCCCAACCAGGCCCCAGTCACACCCTCCCCCCATCCCATTCATTCAGCTGCGCATCTGTATATCCCAGACTGCAGTTCGATTCCCTGAATTCTGCCCTTACAGCACATCCGCGTTATTCACTAAGTTACTGCCTTTCCTCCCCCTTTCCCCCTTTCCCCTTGACCCTCTTTCGCCCCTTCTTCCTCCCCCCTCCCCCCTCAAAGCTCCGCTGCTCCTCCACCACGGACCTACAGACTCACGCTTCTTTGGCACTATCTCCCGCTTCCCTCCTCCCCGCATCCTTCTCATCAGAGCACTTCTCCGCATCCCTTTATCTCCGCACCTGCTTCTCCTATAGGGACTTTCGGCCCACAGGTTCGCGCCCCTACAGCACTGTCGCTCACATCCCTCTCATTAGCCACTGCCCCTTCTCCTTTTTTCTCTCCCCCCCCTTTCCACCCCAGCTCTGCGAGGGGGCGAGGAATGGGGACTGCTGATGGGGCTGGCGTTTGGCGTTGAAGATGGCGGGGCGGGGTACGGTTGACAAGCTCGATTGATCGCCAACAGGTCAGAGCGGTGATGAGTGGGTATTCGTGTGAAAGTTGGCCAAGGGGGCGGTGAGTGGGGGTTTGTGAAAGGAGTGGGGGGTGGTGAAGGAGGGGTTGCTGCTGGGGCGGGTGGAGGTCATAGGTGATGCGATGGGTGTTACCGATGGGTGGAAGGGACCCGGGGGAAGTTAACAGGCTGGATATTGCCAAGGTGAGTGTCGGTGGGGGGCAAGGGAGACGAGTGAAGAAATTACTCGAGTTACTCGGGGGACACTCGAGTCAAGGGGGCAGTTGACTAATTGGGAGAGTGTGTCAGAGTCGGGTCGGTGAGAGTGGCTGTGGGATGGATGCGAGCTGATGGGCAGGCCAGGTGAGGTGGGAAGGTGGTTGTAGGCAAGGTAATGTTCATTCCCCTATCCCTCCCCCCAACTACCTCCCTGATTCCCACCTAGCCCCCAATCGCATAACCCCCCTCATTTCATCCTTTCAGCTGCATGTGTGCCCTGACATCTGCCCCTACCACACAAACACATTACTCACAAAGGCAAAATCCCGTCCTCCCCTTTGTTCCCTTTCCCTTGACCTCTTTCCCCCCTTTTCCCCTTCCCTTTCCAGCGTCGCACCTGATTTTCACACACAAACTCATAGACACACGCCCCAGCGGCACTGTATCCCACATCCCTCGTCCCTGAATCCGTCTCATCCAGGCACTGTTCTCCTCCTCCCCCCCCCCCCCACAGCTCCGCACTCGCTTCTCCTATACCAATTTCCAGCCCACATGTTCGCGTCCCTACAGCACTGTCTCTCTCCCACAACCGTCTTATAAGCCATGACGTCTTTCCATCCTTTCCCTCCCCTTCCTCCCCACCAGCTCTGCACTGCACCTGCTTCGCCTACCCCTCGTAGTGTGGGCGCACTGCCCAGCTCATCCCCTCCCTTCCCAATACCCTCTCCCTCCCCCTTTCTTTTCCCACCCCTTCCAGCTACGCACCCGCTCCTCCTATCGTATGCCATGAGTGGCCCGCGGATTCAGACACTACAGTGGGGATGCACTGCCCTCACCCACGCACTGTCCCATCCTCCCCCCTTTCGCACCTCCCCCGACCCTCCCCCCGCCTCAACACCAAGTCCACACCGCTCCTGCTTCTCCTGCACTGGTTTCCGGCCCATCAATCCCCGCCTCTGCAACATGGGCGCACTGTTTACGGGAAACCTGCGGGCTGCTGAGTGCAGTCCTTGCCAAGGCTGCAACGCACCTTCCCTTCAAGCCCGTTACCCTCTTTCAACGCACCCATTCTTCTCTACCCGTCCCCCTCCACCACCACCAGCTTCTCACCAGCTTCTCACCAGCTTCGCACCTGCTTCTCGCACACCGAATTTTGCCCCACCAACTGCGCGCTCCGACAGCACTGCCTCCCACATCTCTCTCATAAGCCACTCTGCGTTACCCTTCCCCCCTCTCCCCTTCGTGCCACCACCAGCCTCGTACCTGCTTCTCCTGCACCGACTTCTGCGCCACGGGCTCTCCCACACCCATGGCACCCATGTCTTCCGCTCACCCAAGCAGAGGCTGCTGAAGTGGCGGAACTGCGTGAGTGGCTGCAGGAGAAGCTGGGGGGGGGGCTGTTGGGTGTCCCGTGGCGGTTTTTAAGGACAGACGAGCAAAAGGAGAAGGAGGTGCGTTTAGAGGGAGTGAGGGGTTGTGGGCTGGGCTGTATGATGCTTGTGTGTCACTCGTAGATCACGGGTGAGGCGAAGCTAGGGGGGGGCTGCTGGGTGCCCCGTGGCGGTTTTGTAGGAGTGACAAGCAGAGGGCGGAGGTGATTCGGGAGTGAGTGAGGGGTGATGGGCTGGGCTGTTTGATACTTGTGAGTCAATAGTGGGTCACGAGCAGATTATGGATGAGGCAAGGCTAGGTGGGGCTGCTACGACTCGTCAAACCAGGTTGTGCTCCTGTTTTCACAGAAAGATGTGCTCATGCCGGAGTGGTTATCGGGACAGACTCGAAATCTGTTGGGCTCTGCCCGCGCAGGTTCGAATCCTGCTGAGCACGGGTCAGCTGTTGACGCTTGCCGATGAAACTGTATTCAACATCTGTGCTCCATTGTTTTACACGTCAAAGTGCGACGTCGCTTTAAGCACAGCGAGTACTCCGATTGCCAGGTGATGACGTATCAATTGCCTAGTGATCACCCTTTCCGTCTTGATTTTGCGCTCCTCATTGGAAGAACTTCGGCATGGCGATGCGACTGTTGCTCCACACAAGGCAGCGCGCTGGATCCATGACGTCTGTCACACTAAAGTATGTCGCACTGCCGTTTGTCGCACTGGGGTCTGTCGCACCTGGGTCTGTCGCACCTGGGTCTGTCGCACCTGGGTCTGTCGCAGGTCTGTCGCACCTGGGTCTGTCGCACCTGGGTCTGTCGCACCTGGGTCTGTCGCACCTGGGTCTGTCGCATCGAGGTCTGACGCACTGGGGGTCTGTCGCTGAGGCATGTCGCAGTCGCAGTGGGGTCAGTCGCAGTGGGGTCTGTAACGCTGAAGTCCGTCGTGCCAGGGTCTGTCGCACTGAGTTCACTCACTCGAACTGGGTTCACTCTATTGCTCGCATTAGGAGATAACTGCCCGTGGGTTGATCCGTTGAGGCGCAGGCTTGCACGCGAGGGGGAAAGAGGGGGGGATAATCGATGTGCGAGTAGATCGATCCAATGAAAACCTTGCTGCAGGTAGGATAGGAAATCGTCATTTCTGAAGGGGAGAGGAGGGGGGGGTTAGAGGCAGGGGGGGGGTTCAGTGTGCGCGTAAGTCGATCCGACAAGATTCTTCCCCGCACCACTCACTCCATTCCCCATCCCGTTTTTTTTTGCGCCTCGAAAGCCCCTTGCCTCCTCGCGTCCCGCATTCTGCTCCCCATTCCAGTCGCTGCGCATAAAGACGTCCAAGCTTCCCATTCTGATCCGTGCTCTCCATCCTTGCGAGGTCCTTGCGAGGGCCGACTCCGTTCCCAACGAGGGCGTTGGCTCCAGGGGGGGACGTTTGTAACGCCTGTGGGGCTTACACATAAAGGTTGAGTGCCTCCACTGCGCCTCAAATATAACCCTCTTTTTGACCCAGTGGGTAGCGAGGCGTTATAATCCCAGCGCTGCCAGCTTAGGCATAGCGGCACCGAGGAGTGCAGCGTGCTTGGCACCGTCACTCCTCCATCGGCTCCTTGTCCTTTGGCAACTTGTTCGAGCGAGGGGGAGGGCGAGAAGGCATGGGAGGCGGCGGCGACTGAGGCACGGCGGTGGCTGGTGGACGAGCGGGAAGATGAGGGGGATGGGAAAGGATGATGGGGAGGGGGAAGAAAAGAGCGCAAGGGAGAGGGGCAGCCGCACTCGTGCTGCACCTCCCAACCCCTCTCTCCGCCCCCACTGCCCTAATCTCACCTTCCTTCTCCCCCCCCACCCCCCCTTTTCTTGCCCTTCCTTCCCGCTTCCCCTTCCTCCCTATTTCCCCGTGTCCCTCCTCCCACCCCTTGCTCTCCCTGTCGCGCCACTCCATACCGCCGCCCGCCCAAGTCAGCCTCGCAGCACCCGTGCCGGCCTTCTACTCCTTCTTGGGGCTGCTTCGCCTTGACGCCGCAAGCGCCGCAGGCAGTGCGGGTAGACTGGCGGCGGGTGCAAAGGAGCAGCAGGGTGAAGTGGGGGGCAGATAGAGGAGTGAGAGGCAGCGAGCGTGGGAGGGGACAGCAGGGGGAGCGGGCGAGGAAGGGGAGGAAGGAATGGGGAGTCAAGAGCAGCATGTGGGGACGCGGATATTGGTGGCCGTGGTGGCGCGGATGGTGGCATGGGTGTGTCTAGCACAGTGCAGGAGCCGCCATTCCTCACTCCTTGGGTATGTTTTGTACATGCGCCACTGCTGTGACTGCCTCCCATGCCATGCCATCCGTCATCCTCCCATGTGTCTGTAGTGTCCTAAGTACCACTTTCTCCTCTGCTTCTCACATTCGTCCCACCAGGGTGGAGCACGGAGGGGTGGGGGGGCGTGGTTCAGAACATGGCGAGAAGCATGAGTGGCAGTTTGATCATGCGCGTAGGCACAGGGGCGGTGGGTGGGAGGGGAGTTGCAGGGGCAGGAAGACAGGGGTACGCGGGCATGGATGGAGTGTGCGTGCGCGCACGGCTGGTGTAGTCCCATGCATGCCATCCTCACGGGCACGATCATGCCCGCACCCTCCTCCTCCCTGCGCTTCCCCCGGTGCCCGCAGCATGGCATCACCGTGAGTGCCCACAACGGCGGCGGTGGTGGCATGGTGGGCAGCAGCGTGGATTGCAGTCACAGCATCAGCGTGGTGATGGGGCGGCGCAGCCTTGACAGCAGTGGCAGCGGCGTGTGCTGCAGAGACAGGGCAGCATGGCTCTCAAACAACAGGGCAGCTCCACCAGGGCGGAATGGGGCTGACCGGCATGGGGGCTTTTAGGAAGCTTCCACAAAGAAATCCCCATAGAACAAATCTATGCACTGCTTTCTTGGGTGTGATGCCATCAGCTCTCTGCCACTACCCGATGACCCTAACTCCCACTCCCTCTCCCCCATTCCCCCCACTTCCTTCCCCTTCACACACCAGCATTATACATGGGCATTCGAGTCGAGTTACGAGTTTGTTTTTTCTTTCGAAAAACAACTCGACCAAGTCGAGTTCAGTAGAAGTGGCGTTTCAAGTAGATATGCTCGCGGCTGCATTTGGCATGCTTGGGGGGATTGTTTGGAAGCGGAAGGCATTGGGAAGGGTGTGGGATGAGCAAGGGGGCGACGTGGAGTGGGAGAGGGTGGAGGAGGACGTGGTGACTATGCGCTTGCAGAGGATTTAGGGTTGCCAGGGCGAGGTGGAACGGGAGGGGGTTGGGGGGAATGGGGTGTCTCTGCAGCAGAGATTGACTTGCGCGTGACTTTGCAAAATGATGACGTAATCCAAAACCTGATTTTTTCGCAAACCTCACTCCATCCCCCTTCTCCATGTACCCACCCCTCCTCCATTGCAACTCGGATAATTTTGTTACGTCTGAGTTGAACCTGGGCCGGTTCGATATGGGTTCACTCAGGGCACAAAGAGGCTGAATTGGCGAAAGGAGCCTTCTCTCCTTGATGATCATGCCATTTGATCCCCCACCTTCGTCCTTTTTCTTCCCCCCCTCTCCTTTCCCTCAACTTCCCTTTCCTTCCCCACTGCTCCCCCTCCTTCCCTCCCCTCCCATCTTCTCTCTTGTGCACCCATCTCGTATCCTTCCTACCACTCCCTCCCTGTCATTCTCCCTCATGTCTCCCTTCTCATCTCCAAGTCCTCCGCTCACCCCATTCAGCTCCTCCACCCTCCCCGCATCTCAGAATAGGAATGCAACGGAATGTCGAAACTAGAAAGTGTGAGAGTACAAATATGCAACCCTAACAACTGTACTCCCTATTGTGCTACTCACTGTAGCCTACAAGCATAGAATTACATTTGACACACCCCCATAGGCTAAGTGAAGGGCATCAAAGCAAGCAAGGTGAACAAACGGTCACAAGACCAGTCAAAGCAAGAAACAAGGCAAGCTCAGGGTGGATCTCAAGGACACCACACAAATTCCGAGCGCAAGCAAGCGGCCACAAGGCCAGTTCAAGAGTTCACTAGGATATAAATAGGAAGCACAACATGCAGAGCAAACAACAAGACTACAGCAACCGAGGGCCTACCTCAACAAGCCCCAACTGCACACAGAACCTGTGGTGATCACCAAGCGCCAAGGCCTTGGTGAAGACGTCTGCAGTGTTGGCCTCTGAGGCCACAAAGTCCAGGCGTGCCTGGCCGCGTCGCTGCAGCTCTCGCAGGAGGAAGTACCTCACGTCAATATGCTTCACTCTGCTCTCCAGTCGAGGCTCTCGACAGAGGAGGATCATGGCCTTGTTGTCAGCGTACAAGGTCGGTGCAGAGCGAGGCCGCTCACCAAGGTCGGCGAGCAAGAAGGTCAACCAGCGAAGCTCCTGTGCCGCCATGGCACCAGCGTAGATCTCTGCCTCTGCACTGGAAGTAGCCACAGACGACGACCGTGTAGACCTCCACGACACAGCACCAGCTCCCAGACTGAAGCAGTAACCCTGAGTCGAGCGCTGAGTCTCCACGTCGTCAGCGTAGGAAGAGTCGCAGAAACCAGTCAACGCCACTGGGTGAGTCCCTCCAAGCACAAGCCCCATGCCTGATGTAGTCGCCAGGTACTTCGCCACCCTCACAGCAGCTGTCCAGTGGACAGGATGGTGTCTCCCAGTCGCAACAAAGCGAGAGAGGACGCTGAGGGGAAAGGCGAGGTCCGGCCGAGTACAAGTCATCAGGTACATGAGGCAGCCCACCAGCTCTGCGTAGGGACCACTGGACTCAAAAGGCTCGTCGGGAAAGGGGCCAGTGAGTCTGTGGTCAACAGCAAGAGGAGTGGGCTGTGTGGTGGAGAACTGGAAGTCGAACCGCCGAAGGACCTGCTGCACCATGTGTGACTGCGTCAGTGTGATGGTGCGAGCGGCTCTGTCCCGGGTGATCTGCAAGCCAAGGTAACGCTGCAGCTCACCCAGGTCAGTGGACTTGTGTCTCTTCTGCAGTTCGAACTTCACCTGAGCCAGGGCTGCCCTGTCTGCTGTAGCAAACACCAAGTCGTCGACGTAGACAAGGATAAAGAAAGGAGTAGAACCCGCTCAAACAAACAGCGACGGGTCGGCGGAGGACGGGCTAA